AGGGAGGAAATAACTTATTACGATTAAGCTTAAGTATCCAAAGCCAATTTGTAAATATTATATAGAAATATTTATTACCGAATATAAAGAACTCTCCATAGGTCGACGACCATGCTTCAACCAATTAGAAGCATCACTTTGGTCCACGGCCCACGTCGAGTAGAAGATTTTTCCATTTAACATGGAAATGCCTATTTATTTATATATACACATTATCAGAATGCCTCATTTATGGATTGACACAAACTTTAAATATAATTTATNTCTTCATTTGATGATGTATTGTACCTATCAATATAGATAGGCCAGTACATCATCTGCAGACCTTCAAGGTCTGACAAAGCAGAGAAATGAAAAACACTTCTCGCGGTTCTTCTCGTGAAAATTGAGACAAACCAAATGCTCGCATATATTTGATAACAATTGGTTCACGCTGAAACATTCAGACTTTGATTAGAGTGGTTAAAGGCTTTTTTTAATGTCCCCAAAAAAACCCGGATAAAACCACTATTAACTCAAAACCCACGCCTCAAAATCGAACACGAAATCGTCCGTGATAGTTTAGTGGCTAGAATTACCGTTTGTCGCATGGTAGACCGGGGTTCAATTCCCCGTCGCGGAGCATTTTCTCTTACCATTCCCCTGCGCAAATGGTTTAGTGGTAAAATCCAACGTTGCCATCGTTGGGCCCCCGGTTCGATTCCGGGTTTGCGCATTTCTTTTTTGCCCAATCTGCTCTATATTCTTGACCTGTTTCCGCTCACGTCCCAGTCCTATCTAACAGCGTGGGTATAATAACTTGGGGTAAGAGGAGCAGCATAGCGAAGTAAACAGGCGAAGTGTGCTACACAAAAAAAACGACGCAGAGAGAAAAAAAAAACAAAAAACGTAATAAAGGAATTCTTTTTGGTGTTTTTTACCCTGAATATAAAAATAAAACCAAATGGATTAGTATTATGATATTAGGAGTTGTCTAGAAGAAAACCACTTGACTTGAACAGAAGATCTATATACGGAAGGCAGCACGCACACCCTTCTTTACTTTACAACTGACGAGGATAAGAATTGACGAACTGATCACACCAAAATAGATAATTTTTTTTTTTTTTTTTTTTTTTTTTGTATTCGTTTTCACCAGAATCAAATCAACATCATGTCTCAACCTCAAGAGTCTGGTACGTATCTTAAATTTCTAGTCTTTTTGTTTCCTGTTTGTATTATTTATTTATGTCAAATTTCAACCGTTTATTAACATGACAGGAGAGACAACTTTTGAACCAGTTTTACTAACTCAAAGATCATTAGATAATTTACAAAATGCTCCAGATAAACGCCATCAGAAGGGTAGATTTGGATGGGTTAAGAGATTAATGCAAGGGCAAACTCGACAAGGGGCCAATTTTAATCATGAACAATTTGAAGAAGCACCACAAGTAAATGGCAGATGGAGAAGTAATAGTACACCCAGTAGCAGTGTTGGAATAAAACCATTGAGTAATGAATTGGGGAATAACAATAGCCAGTCACATCGTGACATTGGTCCAGTTCGGGTTGTTGAATTTGAAGAAGATGCAAGAAAATCCTCATTTAGAAGTAATTCATCGTATAATGAAGAACAAGATGAAAGTGATTCTGAAGATATTTCTTCCGCAAATGGTTATAGAAGCTCTTCCATTCTTAGTAGTGATCAATTAACCACTCATTCTGATAATATCAGTACCATACCTTTAAAATCAATTGTATCAGTACCTTCAACAAAATCTCCTTCTATATTGAGTGGAGACCAGAATCACGATAACCATTCTTACGTTGCATCAACTGCAGAAACATCAATTGCCCCCAGTGTTGCTTACAATCTCAATGAAATAAACCGAAATGAAATAAACCGAAGTGAAAGAAATGACCGAAGTGAAAGAGATAGCACCCGAGGCGAAAGAGATAGCACTCGAGGCGAAAGAGATAGCACCCGAGGCGAAAGAGATAGTGAGTCTATCATTACCTTGGCCAGCTCTCTGAGAAGAGCAAGAAGAAGAAGTCTAGATACCAATTGTAGCACCACCGGTATTCCTCCGGCAAGTATAATGGAAAGATTATCAGTGCATCCAAGTGCTAGCGTGGCCAACGGCTCTTCGTGTGCGGTTAGCGTTAGAAATAGTAATGAAAGATCAAGTGAATCCACCGACGCAACCAATGAATAGTCTATGTATCTAATGTATTATGTATTGTAATACCAATCCTTATTGTAATCCTCTAATAGTTAAGATTGCAAAATGCGACTCCTGAACGTTATAAGTCTAAGTAGAGAATTTTTTTTTTTTTTTTTTTTTTTTTTTTTTTTTTTTTTTTTTGCTATCTTTTTTGGCGTTGCTAAGTTAAACAAAGAAAAAATCAAAACAAATGGAAAAAAAAAACTTGATGAACCATTACAACTCTCTTCATTCTGTCAAGGTCCCAGGGTGATTGGGCTTAGAGAGTAGGTACCACTCAAGTTACTAGGAATCACAATGGGGTCAATTAATAATAATGATACTTCTATCGAATGTGATGTTTATATTCAAAGACTTTCTGCTTATATTAGAAGAAATGAAGAATCATTAGCAAATGGATTACTTTGTTTTTCTAAAAATAAGATAAATCCAAAGTTAAAACCATTAAGATTAAGTTTCAGTCTTCATCATCTTTATTGTGTTAGTGAAAAAATCGAAACATCAAATTTAGGGGTTGAAGTTGGACCATTAAATATAAAAATCGATAATCCTAATCATGAACCAACTTTTATTTCATTTATGGCTAATAATGCAAGATCATCGAAAAATTTCGAAAGCGATGCCAAGTCAATTTCATCCATAAATTCAATGAAATCAATAGTTAGTTCAGCATCAGTTTATTGGAGAAATTTTTCTTTTAGTAAAGATCCTAAAATAGTGAATAAAGATTTAAGATACTTATATTCATCATTTACTAAAATACCATGTTTAATATTGAGTCCAAATACTAAGATTTCAAATATTAATGGCTATGAAGAATATCCCTGTGATACTTCAGTTCCAATTAAAATGTTTAAAAATTTACAAGTATTAGAATTGGTTGATTATGAACCAATTGAAATATTTGGATGGAATATTTTAAGTGAACAATTAAGAATCCTTATTATTAGAAATTCAAAAGTAAATGATTTGGCAGAAATAATCTTTAATCTAGTTATTGATGATGAATTAGGTAGATCGTCATTTTCAAATCATAAACAATCAAGAAAATCTGAATGGTTACAAGATTATCATTTGACAAATTATACTTATGGACATAATCATTCTCAAAGTTATAACGATTATTCTTTTAATATTAATAACTCTGCATTTAAACAAAAAAGAGAGAGAGCAACAACAACTGGTGGAGCTGGCTCCATACCAAAAGATGTTTTAAATGATTTAAATATTGAAAAAAATTATCAAATTTTACCGGAAAATAAATGGTCAGTTATTAAACAATTAACCGTTTCAGAAACTTCAATTACCTCAATTCCTTCTTATGTTTTTAAACCTTTAAATAATTTAGTTAAGTTAAATTTATCAGGAAATTTATTAGATAAATTACCCGATGGATTAGATCAACTAACTAATATTAAATACTTAAATTTTAGTGATAATTATATTACTAATTTGAAAAATTTACCTAAAAATTTGAAAAATTTATCAAGTCTTAATTTTAATAATAATAAATTAATTGAAATTGATGGTATTGAAAATTTATTTAATATTGAAAAAATTGATTTAAGAAGAAATAACTTATCAAATATCAAATTATTAAAACCTTTAATTATTCAATTTATTAAAAATTCAGATAAATTAACCAATATTTATTTATCTGGTAATAATTTACATAAAGGTTATAGAACTGATTTATTTAATCTATTTAATGGGGTTAAGTATAAAAATAATATTAAAATTGATGATTCAAGACCGGGATATTTTGAAAGTGCCCTATTATTAGATGCTGAATCTTCTTTCAAATTTTTAGAAAAATTCTTTGATCTTAATAGAAGAAATAGTTTATCTATTCCTCAACCTCCAAGAAGAATGAGTGTTACTACCAGTAAATTATCTAATGGGAACGCTGAGGCTACTGAATCAAGTAAAATTTATAATGCTAAATCAAAATTACAATCAATTAATAATAAAGGTCATACTAAAAATAGTAAATCAACAAGTGATATAAATGACTTGATTGATCCTTTTGCCTCTTTCAATTTAAATCAAAGTATGAAAAATTTGAAAAAATCAAAATATACAACTACTTCAACTACTTTAACTACTCCCAAAACTTATACGTCTCCAACAAGTACAATTCAATCAAATTCTTCCCCAATATTACTTTCTGATAATATCAGCATCATTTCGTCTTCTTCAGTTAATCAAAAACATTCGTTCCCCTTGGCTAATAATCAAAATCTACCAAATCAACTACATAAACCGTTTGAACCTTCAGATCAATCCTATAGCTCAAAAAATTTTAGACATTCAATTCCAATTCCTTCTCCTTCCAATCCTACAATGACTCCTTCTCCCTCTCAAGCTAGATCTTTGAAACATTCAAGCACAATGACTACTCTTGATATCGATACAACTTCAATTCATAGTCCTGCTCCTAATGTTATGACCCCAGTTCAAGTTCAAGTCGAAGGCTTCCAATAACTTTATGCATCACTTACTCTATAATCTTTAGAATACTTTATACTACTTTGTTTCCTATACCCTCATGTTTTTTTTTCTTTTCTCTCTATATAGCATCATGTACCATTTGTATAATTACCTGTTTTCCATTTCAGTATTCCAATTCATGTAATGTCCTTACCTTTTGCCTTTTGTGGTTACTATCAAAATTAAAACCCTGAGAAAAAAAAACATCAGCACTTTTTTGCCGCCAATAACTTCTTTATTCTAATCACAACTTTTGATAATCATTAATAACGTTCGAAATGATTTGGACGAAGGTAACGCTAGCATGCTGTCTTTTGTCTGTCGCCCAGACATCCGGCTTCACTGACCAAGTGGAACATGTACAAAATGATACCGTAAATACTCTTGATTCTATCGAGAAGCGTTCTTTACATGAAGAACTGCCTTTGTTATATCAGGCAAAGGACGATCATCCTTCGGAACACTTCTATACTACTCCTTATTATCCAACTCGTTCGTGATACCCTCTTGACAATGGTCAACACGTTATACTAATCGAACTCTTTAGCGCTTGGAGGTCGAATAGACCATATTTGGCAGAAAGCCTATGATAAAGCCAGAAAAATTGTAGAGAAAATGTCTATCCCCGAAAAAGTAAACTTAACAACTGGTACAGGATGGGGATCAGGTCCTTGTATAGGTAATACTGGTTCTGTCCCAAGATTGGGTATTTCTAATTTGTGTCTTCAAGATGGTTCTAATGGGGTTAGGTTTACAGATTTCGTTACTAATTTCCCTTCTGGATTAGCAACTGGTTCAACATTTAATAAAGGTCTTATGTATTTGAGAGGTAAGGCTATAGGCATTGAACATAAAAAAAAGGGGGTTGATATTGTTTTAGGTCCTACTGTTGGACCAATGGGGTTAAAAGCTCAAGGTGGTAGAAATTGGGAAAGTTTTGGTTCCGATCCATATTTACAAGGAGTTGGTGGTGCTGCTACGGTAGAAGGAATCCAAGATGCTGGTGTTATTGCAACCGTTAAACATTTAATAGGTAACGAACAAGAACATTTTCGTCAAGTTGGTGAATGGGACGAAAATGGTTGGGATTGTTTGGCTGATTCAATTAGTTCTAATATTGGTGATAGAGCTATGCATGAAATCTATTTATGGCCATTTGCTGATTGTATAAGATCAGGTGTTGGTGGTGTCATGTGTTCTTATAATGAAGTTAATAATACTTATGCTTGTGAAAATTCTTATTTGATAAATTATTTATTAAAGGAGGAATTAGGATTTCAAGGTTTTGTAGTGGCTGATTGGGGCGCTCAACATACTGGTGTTTATTCTGCTTTAGCTGGTCTTGATATGACGATGCCAGGTGAAATCTTTGATGATTGGTTAACTGGGAAATCTTATTGGGGTCCTTTATTGACAAGAGCTGTATATAATTATACTTTACCTCAATGGAGACTTAATGATATGGTAACTAGAATTATTGCTCCATTTTTTGCAATTGATAATTGTAAACTTCCATCGACAGATGATGAACCAAATTTTAGTTCATGGACTTACCATACTTATGGTCAGCAATATCCATATCAACATTTTGGATCAATAGTACAACAAAATTGGCATTTAGATGCCAGATCAAAGTTTAGTGATGAAACTGCTCTTAACGTAGCTAGAGAAGCAATTGTTCTTTTGAAAAATGTTGCTCACAATTTACCAATTTCAAAAAGTGATGGTATCAGACGCCTATTTATAGCTGGTTTAGGTGCCGGTCCAGATCCCAAAGGTTTTAATTGTAAAGATCAAAAATGTGTTGATGGGGTTCTAACTTCAGGATGGGGTTCTGCAGCGGTCAATAATCCTTATGTGATTACTCCATATGAAGCTATTTCGAAAAGAGCCCGAAAAGAAGGTATGGTTGTTGATTTTTCAACAGACTCCTGGGATTTTGACCAAATTGATGACTATGCCGAGTATGCAGATATGTCGATTGTATTTGTGAATGCCAACTCTGGTGAAGGGTATATTGAAGTTGATGGTAATTATGGAGACCGAAAGAACTTATCACTTTGGTTGAATGGGGATGAGTTAATTGAACATGTTGCTGATAGATGTCATAAGACTATCGTAGTAGTCAATTCTGTTGGTCCAGTAGATATGGAGACTTGGATTGACCATGATAATATTATAGGTGTTCTTTACTCTGCACCTTTGGGTCAATTTGTTGGAGAAGCCATTGCAGAAGTATTATTTGGAGAAGTAAATCCTTCAGGGAAATTACCATTTACGATTGCAAAGAAAAAACAACATTATGTTCCAATAGTTGATAAAATCAATGAAAGTAAAGATCCACAAGATACTTTTGATAGGGATATATATTTAGATTATCGATTCTTTGATAAACACAATATTAAACCAAGGTATGAATTTGGTTATGGATTATCATATACTACATTTCAAGTTTGCGATTTATCGATTATTGAAATCAATTCTCCATCGGAGTATTTAGCTTATCCGGAAGAGTACTTACCAATTTTCCATGTAATTGAAGACGATGTATGTGATCCAGAAGACGCATTATTTCCTCATGATGATTTTGATCCAGTTCCAGGATATATATATCCTTATCTTTACAATGAGAATGTTAGAACATTAGATGAAAATGACTGTTTCGAATATCCTAAAGGATATATTCCTGATCAAAAAACTTGTCCACCTTTAGCAGGAGGTGGATTAGGAGGGAATCCATCATTATGGGAAGTTTTGTATCAAATTTCAGCTGAAATCAAGAATGAAGGGAAATACAAAGGAGGTTATGTTTCTCAATTGTATATTGAGTTCCCTAGTACTTTAGTCCCATCACCGCCTAAGGTTTTAAGGGGCTTTGATAAAGTATTTATTGAGCCAGGTAAAAGTGCCAGCGTTAATTTCAATCTATTAAGAAGAGATTTGAGTATTTGGGATCCAGAATCGCAACAGTGGATTATTCAAACAGGTACTTACAAAGTATACCTCGCTAGTTCTAGTCGAAAAATTGAATTATGTGGTGAAATTGATATTGGTTGTTAGAGAAGCAATTATTCATCCAACTATCATAATGGGCTTTTTGAATAAGGGGTTTATGTTTGCATGTTCAATGCACTGCAAGACTTGCTATTTGAAGGTGGTATTTGCAAAAAAATATGTCAAGACTCATGTAAGGTCATGAGTGGAATTGATTTGGTTTATGCAATGTACATTTGAACCAAAGCTCTATTCAAGAATGCTATGAATAATATAGCATATTTCAAATTTACCTTTATAGTTGTTGTAGGTGTAACAAAATCTAATAAAATCTTTTTATTTTTAAATTGAAATAACTGGTATAAGCGTTCAGACATCCACAATACCTGTCAAAAGAAAAATTCGGAAACTGTATGGAATCAGTAGTTTATCCATTCATCCAATTTTTCATTTTTTGCATCAATCATTTTGCAGTTAGCCAATCTGGTATCAGGAGCCATATGACCAAGGGGGTTCATCCAAGGGGTAATCTGACCTTAGTAAGTGGCTTCCCTTTGGCAGATCTTAGGAGGGAAACTGCATTATTAGTCGAGATAGCTTAACCGCATTCTTGCACCAGTCCTTTGATTTAAATTACAGTCTAGCAACCTCGAGCACCTTTACGTTGGCATTCGCGAGGCCGTGGTACAATGGTAGAGCCATGATCTTCCATGGAGATCACTAATTGTTCAGTAGACAAACGTCTAATAGAAATAGAAACCAAACAAAAAAAAAAAAAAAAAAAAAAAAAAGAGGTTATATAAAGTACAAGCGCAATGGTCGTTTTGGGAAACGCAACAAGAAACGACTTTTGCAGCAGTTTTATTTTTTTTGACTGCAATTGTTTATTTATTCGCATAAAAAAGAGCGAGCATCAAATATGCGTTTTCGCTGTCAGGGGCACTCGGAGAAGCACGGGACAGGCTGATGGGGGTGTAATCTATACCATCAAACCATCAACATGGATGGCTGCAAGCAAAAGGCTGTTGACAAAGATAGCTGGGGGTAAGAGGCAACTGGTGAGATTAGGGATTATTACGAACTTTTCCTTTTACGAATTCCATATCCGGCTGAAGGAGGCAGCCGGGTGCATTGGGGAACCACAGTCGACTTGCGGGTTGAGGGAAGTTGCAACTTGAGTTACTGCTATCAAAAAAAAAAAAATCGATAGAAGACTTTTATGAGCAAAACCAGCATAAAAAACTACTGCTACTATTTAAAAAGTACAAGCTGATAGTGGTTATCAATCATTGCCCGAATCACAATGAGTTATCCTTGGCAACGATTACCATGGTACCAGACTATGCCTCGAGGATATCGAGGATTTCTCTTATGAAAAAAGCAACTCTTACGAGAGTTAGGGGCCCGATCAGATGGCTATGAGCTTATCTTTATAATTTCCCAATTCTCGATATCTCATGTTTCTAGAAGCTTGCTAATTACTAGTTCACAGTTAACCAAGGAACGTTGGTTATAGAGTCGTGTAGACGATAACGTTTTGAGCGATAAGTTATCTAAAACTCAAGGGGCTATTGTCTGGGATAAACACGTTTATGGGACGAGTACCCTGGGGCAGTTAAGGCCAAGATATAGCCAATGGCCAGAGGAGCAATGGTAATAGTTAGGTGTAGTTATTGTTCGAGACTTGCAATAAACAAAGTAATGAAAATAAAGTGAATAAAGTTGACAAAACAAAAAAAAAAAACAAAAAAACATTCCCTCGAGACGAACCTTAACAAGGCTATAATCTAATCTAATTAAACCTCGAGGAATAGTCTAGGTCTAGATATCATTTAGTCTTACTAACAATAAGGCTTAATCTCGTTAAAGATGAAATTCAGCAAATAGGAAGACAAGAAAAGTTAGTTGAGGATGATTCGTGAAACTAATTAGTCGGATCCTTTATCGCAAAACGCAAAATGCGAAAACGCCTCCAAAAAGAAAAGAAGTCAAAGCTAATTAACCGAATAAGGAAGAACCCTAAGCTAATTTTTCGGATAAACTATCTGATAGGTGTCAAAGTCATGGGTTTCCGGGATTGTCCATACAAACAAAAACAAAAATAGAGCTTGTTGAGTGGTGGAGTTCTGTTGATCATGATGGAGTCACGTATGGAGACCCATCTTCGGTTCCGTCAAAGCGTTTGTGTACTAGTTTCAGCCTTATAGAGATTGGTCCTGTAACTGAATATTTGTCCTGTCTATTGCTCATCACGGTTGCACTTGCAAAAAAAAAAAAGTCTCCCATGCATAACGACTCTAATTTCTTGATCGCTTTGATTAACTCCCTGACGTCCTGAAATATCCGAAGAGTTGAAGGAAACTGTGTTGCTAATTGAATTTAGGCCAAGGAGGAGTCATAAAATTTTCTATGTTTAATCATATTTATTTTTGTTTACACAATTTTTGACGGGGAATGCCCCATTAACAATATAGTTATAAGCAATCAGAAACCAGACAAAGCAAGGAAGAAGAAAAAACACTGAAAAGCAAAACAAACTGACAGTAGACCAGGCTATGATACTACCGACCACGAAGGGTCCTGTCACTGTTTGAGACGAACAACTCCTTTATCCAGTGTTTCTAGAGTTGCTCGAGTCGTCATGGCTTAACGAAAAGTTATGAACAAATCAAATGATCTTTGTTGTTCTTAGACCCCCTGACTAGAGTAATACTTTGTGGAATCCCACCAAGCTACGATATCTTCGCTAGTTATACCTATTTTTACAAGTAATACAAAAAGAAGAACAACAAAATGA